ACCAACAATATTCCAGGGCAATCTTCCACCTCATACATAGCATCTTTCAATTCTCTTAAGCAAAGTATCACCATGGCATGGATTTCTAAAATAGGTCTATGTGTATCCACTATGACAAGGAATCTAGAATGAAAACTTAATTATTATTTTTGTAAAGTTTTTTTATTTTCTTTTTTAAACACACACACACATACAATACATCTTTTCTGAACAGAATATTGACCCGGTCTTAAATTTGTACAAATTTTTGTTCATCTTTAACACAATTTTATACGTTCAATTTTTGTCATAGCACTTATTTTTTCTAATTTTAAGAAAAATATTACCCTTCGTCTTAACTTCTAATCCTGATATGATTCAATTTTTCTTTTCCCTTCCTAAAGTTTGACCCCTATATTTCAATTCACACAACATAGTACAATCCCCAATTATTTCTTTAAATTCTCTTATTCTACTCACAAATGATTCTTTTATCTATTCCAAATAATACAATTCAACATATTAGTAGAAACCAATTAAATATAGATCTTAACCCAAATATTCCAACTACAATTTTATATATTAAACTTATTCATATTTCTAAGTCTTATTTCAATTCTTAAACATCCATACATTTTGTCATTTCTTCATATTAACTTAATTAATTCATTATTCCATTTATCATAATTTCCCTAATTAATTAAAAATATTCAATAAAAAATCAATTAAGTATAAGTCTTAATTCAATGCCCCTAAATTTAAATTCATATCTTATTCCAATATCAAATAATTTTTTATCAACTGTTCCAAATAATACACTTCAACATATTTATAAAAACCAATTAAATATAAATCTTATCTGATTAACTCATAATCCAATATATTTCAGCTTTCTTTTTTTAGTTAAATTCCAGATATGTAGTTAAGAATATTCCAGTTGTTACAATTACCTTAATTTAAAAATCTTCCAATTGTTACACTCATCATACATCTATATGGTTTTAAATTATTTAGTTAATAACACAATTTCATCTTTTCTCTAATATTCATTCCGTTTACCATATATTCCTCTTCCATTTCTTTCTCCCTTTCTATTTTAATTTTTTTTCTTTTTCTTTCCCCTTCTTTTTCTTTGTGCTTTAAACTCCTGAATTCTCTTTTCCCTTTTTCTTATCTTTCCAGTGTTAGTCCCAGTGTAATCATTTTGTTTTTTAAAATCATAGGCTCTTCTATTTTGCTGTGCATTTCCTGTTGTTTTCCATCCCTTTCCCCTTTTTCTTATTTTCCCACTGATAATCCTGGTGTAATCATTTAAGTTTTTTATATTCTTTCTATTCCACCATCTTTTCCTTCTTTGTTTCTTTCCCCCTTTTCTATTTCTTCCATTGTTAATCCCAGTGTAATTTTTAAAGTTCTCCTTTTTATTATTACTACCCACATAATCATTTAATTTTCCATAATCAATCTCCTTGTCTTTGTCGTCTCCTTTATTGTCAGTCTCTTTCTTGCTTCTCATTAGTTCTTTCTTTATCATCTTAAATATAGCCTGTCAATTTTTTGATCATCAAATTTCAGTTTTCCATGCAACATTGTAGTCATTTCCCTTATTTCCATTTTCAATGATAAGTCCATCATTTTCATCATTTCCTTAAGTTCCTGCACTATTTTGTTCTTTCTAGATTGATATTATTCCAATTTGAAATTATGTTGTAATCCTTTTTTTTTAATCATCAGAGTGCTTATAGACAAACAAAGCCTCCTTAAAAATTCTCACAGCTGTTATTCCTTTCATAGTTTTTTCCAAAACAAAGATTCAGTGTTATAGTAACTTTTTTTTCTCCTGAAGATGGCTCTCTACAATCCACAATTGCAATCAGCAGCCTAAAAAAGTATCCATTTTGTTTGCAATCCACTTTAATAAGTCTTTACTTATTTAATTTTTCCTCTTCTTCTGTTTCACCTTTATAAGTACCAAATCAATTTAAAATTCAGTCCAGATTTGCAAAGTCCAAATTCCAACTTTACATTGCAATTTAATTTCAATTTGGAATCTTTAACCAGTCCTTTCTATTGTGGGTTTTCCTTCTTTCTTTAATCTTCCTTCCTTTAAAATTCCCAAATTAGATAAAGATCTTTTCGGGTTCTTAATTCTAGTTTTTTAAAGTTCTCCAAATAATTAAATCCAAAAAAACCAAACAATTGTCTGATCGGGTTTTGTCACTTTATAACTTCCGCTTTAATCTTCTTCTTCCATCCTTTCCCCACGCCTATTAGCCACTGTTATACTGCTAAGACATTTATAATTATTTTATTATTATTATTTTTAAAAGTTTTTTATTATTTTTTTAAAACATAAACATAAAACACGTCTTTTCAAAACAAAGCTTTTGATCTGGTCACAAATTAATACAAATCACTAACAAATCTTAATTTTCAATTAACACAACTTAATATTTTATTCAGTTATTTCCCTCAAATCTGTTTATTTAACTATGCCATTATCCCCAAAAACCAGTTACTTAAATCTTAAATCCTAACCAATTATCATTCCCTTTTTCTCTTTCATTTGCTTAGATGGATATATTTTTAAAGTATAAATCATACGTTATATGATAAATCATCCTCTTGGTCGTCCGAGATGCCCCTCCTTTCCCCCCGTCCCTGCAGGACGGTTCCGGTCTGAAGACCCATCAGTTATGGTTCGGCAGCCGGAGTTTTTGTGGGACTCATCAGAGCCCGCTATTTCCCCAACTGTCTCACCGCAACGCCAAACCAGAAGTCCTCCTACATTTATAATTATTTTAAAAATCCTCTTTTTTTATTTATTTATTTGTTTGTTTGTTTTGTATACCGCCCTTCTCCAGCGGGACTCAGGGTGGTGAACAGCCAAAATAAAAACAGAACATACAAAATTTAAAAACAGTTTTAAAAATAATTAAATATTTTTGGCCACAATTTAAAACAACCCAATTAAAATCAATTCAATTTAACCAAAACGGTGGGATCAAGCCAGCCCGGCTAGGTGAAATAAATAAGTTTTCATGGCCCAACGAAAAATCCGGAGGTCTGGTATTGTGCGTATCTCTGTGGGGAGGTTGTTCCAGAGGGCGGGCTCCGCCACAGAGAAAGGTCTCCCCCTGGGGGTCGCCAGCCGACATTGTCTGGCAGACAGCACCCTGAGGAGGCCCTCTCTGTGCGAGCATACTGGCCGGTGAGAGGCTATTGGTGGCAGAAGGCGGTCTCTTTCTTCAGCCTATGGCTAGTTGTCACTCACCTGACATCAATGTTCCACTCAATTCTCCTCTCCTGCACAATGCTTGGTCCGGTTGTCCCAGCTTATTGATGGTCACAATGGCCACCACCCCCTATTGCAGAATCAAGGAGAGTTTCCTCTGACCTCTGAGGAACTTGCCTGTTCCTCTTGGTCTTCCAAAGTGCTGTTCTGCCCCAGCTACAGACCCCAAAGAATGCAGCACACATAAAGTCCGTACAAACCTTATTTTACTAATTAAGGATACTAATGAGCTTTCTTAGTAGTTTTTTTTTGTTTTTTTTTTAAAATTTGATTTATATGCCGCCCTTCTCCGGAGACTCAGGGCGGCTTACAATGCGAATTGTACGAATTCAAGTACAGTTTAAATCAGTCTTTTCTGAACAAGAGCTGTTAATTTAACTTCATTAACAGCCAACAAGAATCCAAGAATAATGACTCAATTCTGAGGCACAGTATTTCAGATAACCGTAATCTTACTGTGATTGGCAGAATGCCCAGAAGCAATTTGCAGGAAAACTGACGAGAGAAGCAAGAGCCGATCAAATGTTTCTGGAATCAAGACGTGAAGGAATATGAACGAAGTTGTTTCCTGCAAATTGCATCAATTGTCGTCCTTCCTTAAATAGGCTAGGGGAGTGGCCAATTAGCCCCAAGCCTTACTCTCGAGGAGACCTCCTCCTGAGGAGCCACTCCTGCCTTTTAACAGCTCTGTGTGCTCGTGCATCAAGAAGAGGCTCCTCCTCTTCTTCCTCTTCACTTATGGGAGCTTCTGGAGGTTCTGAAAGCCCTGGCTGAATCTCCGCCTCTAGCACCACATCTTCTCCAGCCTCCTCATTGTCTGACTCGAGTGCCAGCTGCACAGGCTGCTGGCGCATCACCACACCAGCCTCCTCGCTGTCGGAATCAGCTACTAGCTGCACAGGCCGCTGATGGGCCACAACAGGTACCTCTCCTTCTTCCCTATCCCTACAAGACAGATCCGGTCCGAAGGCCCCTCTGCAGCGGTTCATCAGTCTAGGATTTCCCAAGGCTCATTAGAGTCCGCTAATCCCCGACTGTATCGCCGCAACGCTTATGGTCGAATCCCTGAAAAGTTAATTTTTGAAGGGTTATATACATGTAATCCTCAACTTACAGTTCATTTAGTGACCGTTCAAAGTTACAATAGCGCTGAAAAAAGGTGACATGACCATTATGACCATTGCAGCATCCACATGGTCAGATGATCAAAATCTGGATGCTTGGCAACTGATTCACATTTATGATGGTTGCAGTGCCCTAGGATCACCTTTTGCAATCTTCTGACAAGCACAGTCATTGGGAAAGCCAGATTCACTTAACAACTGTGTTACTAATTTAACCAGTGCAGTGATTCATTTAATAAATGTAGCAAGAAAAGTTGTAAAACAGGGCAAAACTCACTTAACAAATTTCTCACTTCGCAACATAAATTTTGGGCTCAATTGTGGTCGTAAATCAAGAACTACCTGTCCTTATTTTTTTTTAAAAAGCATTCCATCATTCCTAGCTGGGTACTGTTGACTGGCTAAGGTTGGGGAAGGAAATTTGGATTAAGATACATGCTGATGAAATCAAGTAGGAAAGTTCTTAAAAGGTTTCTGTCAAATAATGGATTTTGGAAAATTAAATATTCTAGAAAGTATTTTGTGATATGAGGAGTTGTTAAAAAAATTTACATTGGAAGTTGAATGAATTTTAATAATTTGCTTTATTTCATTCTATGCAGCCATCTTTCTACAGTTCTGGGAAACAAATTTGACCATGGAGCAGAAGCCATTGTGCCTACTCTATTTAATCTGGTCCCTAATAGCGCCAAAGTAATGGCTACTTCTGGATGTGCAGCCATTAGATTTATTATCCGTGTGAGTATATTTCTGTTACTTTAAAAAGCTACTGCCAATTAGGCATATAATTTATTGATTACTAATCATCAAGCATTATTTTCAGCAAAATAAACTGTACATTTGCCGTAGACAGGGGTGTCAAACTCTTTTCATTGAAGGCTGCATGAGGGTTGTGATTGACCTCGGGGGACTAGGTGGGCGTGGCCAGCATGACATCATTCATCTCAATGGTCCGAACTCCGGACCTAAACAAAACAGAAGCTTACTTGCTCTGGAACCAAGCAAAGTGTTTCTTTAGGCCGAAGTCTTGGCACGAAATGAGTCTTGTAGCAAGTCTGTGGAAAAGTCAGCATTGGGAACATTCGCCTTCCAGTGCTTCGTTATAGGCATCTTCCAGCCCCTGGGCACGACTCCACCCGGTAGCCAGGCTATCAGGTATGCCTCCTTTCAACACTCAAGAAAGAAAAACCCCAACTCCATTTTCATAGAGAACGGTACTTTTACTGAGTATGAACTGAATGCAACCAAACAAAAGCAAAGTCTGAGGCAATAGGCATGAAAATCACATTTATTTATTTATTTATTATATTTCTATACCGCCTTTCTCCCGTAGGACTCAAGGCGGTGCACAGCCAAGAAAAATATAGACACACAAACATCATAAAATTGCTAATTAAAATTATTACTTAGTTTGGCCAATTAAATAAAACCCAGAATTAGATAACATTTTAAAAATCATTCACATGTTCATATGTTTAGCCCCACCTGTTGGAACATCAGGGTCTTGAGGGCACGGCGGAAAGCACAGAGATCAGGGATATTCCGTATCTCCGGGGGCAGTTCATTCCAAAGGGTTGGAGCCCTCACAGAGAAAGCCCTCCCCCTGGGAGTCGCCAGTTGGCATAATTTGACTGACGGTACCCTGAGTAGTCCCTGTGAGAACGAACTGGTTGGTGGGAGGCTATTGGTGGCAAAAGACAGTCTCGTAGGTACCCAGGTCCTAAGCCATGGAGCGCTTTAAAGGTGATGACTAACACCTTGATTCGCACCTGGAAGACCACCGGGAGCCAGTGCAGCTCGTGCAGGAGAGGTATTACATGGGCACAACGAGCTGCGCCCATAATCACCTGCGCAGCTACATTCTGGACCAGCTGGAGCTTCCGGGTGCTCTTCAAGGGGAGCCCCATGTAGAGAGCATTACAGTAGTCCATATGGGAGGTGACTAGAGCATGAGTGCCGTGCGCAAGGCGTCCCGATCCAGAAAGGGATGCAACTGGCGGATCAGGCGAAAGGCCCCCCTGGCCACGGCCGTCATGTGCTCTTCTAAAGATAGCCGTGAATCCAGGAGGAGGAGAGTTGCGAGCCCTCTCTATGGGGAGTAAGGTCTCATCCCCAATTGTCAGCGATGGTACCAGCTGACTATACCGGGACGCCGGAAGCCACAGCCACTCGGTGTTGGAGGGGTTGAGTCTGAGCTTGTTTCTCCCCATCCAGATCCGCACGGCCTCCAGGCAACGGGACATCACAGTAAGAGCATCATTGGGGTGGTCCGGGGCGGAGATATATAGCTATGTGTCATCAGCATACTCATGAACACTCATCCCGAAACCACGGATGATCTCGCCTAGAGGTTTTACATAAATGTTGAACAGAAGGGGTGAGAGGATTGATCCTTGCAGCACCTCACAAATAAGGTGCCTCGAGGTCAACCTCTGCCCCCCTGCCAACACAATCTGCGACCGGTCAGAGAGGAAGCAGGAGAACCACCGAAGCACAGTGCCCCCTATTCCTAACCTCTTCAGCCAGTGCAGTAAGATACCATGGTCGATGGTATCAAAAGCCGCTGAGAAATCTAATAGGACCAGGACAGAGGAACAACCTCTGTCCCGAGCTCTCCAGATATTATCATCCAATGCGACCAATGCCATTTCCATGCTGTATCATGGCCTGAAGCCCGACTGGTATGGATCCAGATAGACAACTTCATCCAGGTATCGGGGTAGTTGTCGTGCCATCACACTCTCAACAACCTTCGCAACGAAGTGAAGATTGGAGACTGGACGATAATTTGATAATATAGCCAGGTCCAGGGAAGGCTTCTTGAGGAGGGGCTTCACAACCGCCTCTTTCAAGGCAGCGGGAAAGACACCCTCACTCAGAGAAGCATTTATAATCCCCTGGAGCCAGCCTCGTGTAACCTCCCGGGAGGCCAGTACCAACCAGGAGGGACACGGGTCCAATAAACATGTGGCAGCGCTAAGCTTGCCCAGAATCCTGTCCACATCCTCAGGAGCCACAGAGTCAAACTCTTCCCAGATAACACTCTCAGGACCTACCCCCGTCTCCTCCCCTGGATCTACCCAATCGGAGTCCAGGCCTTCCCGAATCTGAGCGACTTTATCATGCAGGAATTGCACAAAATCCTCAGCTCGACCCTGTAAGGGATCTTCCCACACCCCCACTTGAAGTAGGGAGCGGGTCACCCTAAACAGTGCGGCTGGGCGGTTCTCTGCAGATGCAATAAGAGCGGAGAAGTAGCTAGACTTCGCCACTTTTATCGCCACTAGGTAGGTCTTAATATAAGATCTCACCTGTGTTCGGTCAGATTCAGATCGGCTTGTCCTCCAATCGCTCTCCAGGCGTCTTTTCCGACGCTTTATCTCTCTCAGCTCCTTGGAAAACCAAGGAGCTAGTCGAGATCAGCATCAGGTCAGAGGTCGCAAAGGCCATCTCACCAGCAGATGGCAGGTTAAAATCCCCCATAACAATAAGTCTGGGGGTTTCCACCGTCACCTCGGCTATAACGTCAAGCAGCTCAGGCAGGACCGCTGTCACGTGTCAGGGAGCCAGGTACGTAATCAGTAGGCCCATCTGTATCCCCCGACCCCACTTCACAAGGAGAGACTCACATCCGGCTATCTGAGGAACAGTGGCCTCCCTCGAGCAAAGACTTTCTCTAATAATTGCTGCCACTCCCCCACCCCTTCCCTGAACCCTTGGCTGATGGAATGCACGGAAACCTGGCGGGCAAATTTCCACAAGGAACTCCTCCCTCCTGGCCTAAACAGGTCTCTGTAATCCCTGCCAGGTCAGCACCCCTCTCCGAAATAAGATCATGAATGAGGGGGGCTTTATTTACCACTGACCTGGCATTACACAACATCAGCCCTAGACTCAGGGCCTGAGACTCTGAACAATCCGGGAAACGAGCAATGCTTTGGGGGTCGGAGTGCGCAATCACTCGCAAACAGCGAGTGCGCACTCCCGAAACATAATATGGCCCCAGGCTACCGTCATATCTGCCCCTCCCACTTATTATACTAATGCCCATCGTTTCGTCCCCCTGCATCCTTGTCAAATTTCTGTCCCGGTCCTCCCCACCATGATCATCAGACCCATTACCCCATTCAGTGGATTTATGCATCCCCCCAGATCCATTCCCACAATCCCTCCCAGAACTCCTTAAAATAGAAGTTAAAAATTTATCTAAAAAACCCCAAAGCCGTCGGTTTTTTGCAAACCATATAGAAAGCATCCTTAAAACCCTTCCCCCAACTGTCTAGTCAGGATTATCCAATCCATGTTCCCCCAAGAGGTCATCTGGGGTACAGCTTTCGATGGTTCCATCCTCCTGGTATGCCACAACGGTTGACCTTGAGTGGTTATCAGCGTGCTTCCCAGCTGCAGAGAAACGCTGAGGAAAACTTTCTCCCATTTACTCCACCAACTCATTTCCCCTCCCCCAGTTACAATGGCAGCTGATCAAGCAAGCAATATAAAGGCGGAGGCTGACATTCGGCCCTCCTGCAGAAGAGACATTATTCCTATAAGAAAAACAGAATAAGGGAAAATAAATTACATAAACAAGAACATAAGTAAAAACTCCAGGATTAAGGTTTATCAGGATATTTGGAATAAAACAATTGCAGCTGCTTCGGAGCCCTAACATCTCGCTCATTTACCCATTCAGACAGCTAAAGGGAAATGTTTCCAGGCCACCAAGTACTCCAATATTTCTTTGACCTCAAAATGCTGTTCCCCTTCAATGAGTATGGGGACAGAAAGAGGTTCTTGGTCCGGACGCAAAAAGGACGTACGTTGTGTTTCAGCAAACTAGCATGAAACATCGGATGAATTATCCGCAATGTTTTAGGTAGCTCTAATTGCACCATAACTGGGTTAACTATGCGTACGATAGGGAAAGGACTCTATCGTATTTGGGCCCAAGGTTTTTTGACTTTTGGGTAGTTTGCAAGTACTTGGTGGAAAGGAAAACCCTATCTCCTACTTTATAATCTCTACCGTGAATTCTTTTCTTATCAGCTTGGTTTTTATGAGCTTGGTAAACCTCGTCCAGGGCCTTAGTGTTACAGACCAGGTACCACGTAGCTGTTCAGTTCATTCAGCCAAAGAAGGTATCTGTGGTTTTCCTGAGGCAACTCTGGGATGGGCACAAAGTCTTGTCCTGAGGCTACCTTAAATGGGGTAAACCCAGTACTGCTGTGTATAGAGTTATTATAGGCGAGCTCTGCAAACAGCAACAAGTCCACCCAGTTATCTTGCTGATAATTTATGTAACATCTAAGGTATTGTTCCAACACTGAGTTAGTTCTTTCACAAGCCCTATTGGTCTGAGGGTGGTGGGCGGAGCTTAATCCCTGGGCGGAACCTAACAACCACATGAACTCCTTCCAAAAGTGGGAGGTGAACTGGACCTCTGTCCGAGATTATTCGTTCTGGGGTCCTGTATAATCTATACACATGTTGAATAAACAATTTAGCCAGAGTTTTAGCTGAAGGGAACTTGGGACATGGGATAAAATGCATTTGTTTAGAAAACAAATCAGTAACCACCCAAATGACTGTATTTCCTCCACTTTCGGGCAATTCAACAATAAAATCCATGGAGATCTCCTTCCATGGGGCTCCCGGCCTGGCTACATTCTGAAGTATCCCAGGGGCTTTCCCAGGAGGCTTCTTTGCTGAAGCACATATGGGGCAGCTTGCCCCGTAGGCTT